TTAACTGAAAGCACAATCAAAGAAAGAAATTTGCAATGTAAAGTTTATTTTAAAAAAAAAAATAAATTCTGGCCAACCTGTATTCACAAAAATCAAAGCCTAATCTGTAACTAAGGTAAAAAGATAGAAACAGCACTTTCTGTGGTGTTCAGTGGGAAATTGTACACAACGATTTGCAAGGTCTCTGTAGCAATACTGTATTTTGTAGAAAACAACAGGGAGGGGGGTGATTTTTAATCTTCTATTCCTCCCCCCACAAATATATTTTTCACATATTACAACTGATGCAAATCCCAACTTAATGTCTGTTTCGGAACCTGCTTTTTTTTTTTTTTTTTTAAAACAACCAACCAACTTAAAAAAAGCAGTATGTGACCCAGACAGCTAAGGAATAAACTCTTTTGGCTTCTTAGATGTTCCTTCTTGAGGAGGGTTTGTTCTCAATCTGTAGTTATGCTGACATGGATAATTTGATTCACAGCTAGAAAGAACTGGAGGTTTTAATTTCACATGTTGCTCTGAAATGCTGCATTAATTGTGTTGTTCTTCTCACCATAGATGCTTCACTGACATTGTAGGATTTGTTAATATTTCTAAACTTCTTTGAAAAAATAACAACCTTGCTGATAATTAGAAAATTGCCATAATCGAAATACCTGAGCTTTTACTTAAGACTTGTTGTTCTCCTTAAAATGAAGATTTTAAACACACCTGAATAAGAAGCCCTTTTGAACAGTAATCGGAAACAACTACTATCATTACAAGTACTTTATTTCTACCGCAAAAATAGCTGTATGCTGTCCTGAGTGACAGTAACCTCTACGGAATTTCATTCTGCAGACAGGTAAAACCTCAGCTACATCAGCAGCTGAAGACATGGCCAGCTACAAAGGCAGTTTCATCTTTCTCATGCAAAATATAGGTTAAATATACAAATTAGCATGTGATTTTATCCAGTAGAAGTGGAATAGTCTGTTAGAGAAAGTACGCTGGCAAATGGGCAACCAGTTGAACATGTTATATTTTAATTTGCAGAGACAAAAATGACAAGCAATTTATTTACATAAAACTGTACAAAAGCAAATTAAATTATGTAAATATTTCATAAATAGAGGTGGAATAGCGTTTAATACATTTTGCCATGTTTAGCATAGTTGCGTGCATAGTGACTCATAATAAACAATGATAAATTGTTCTCTGCTTCACTATCAACATCCAAGTTGCAGAACAATAGTCAATGATTAATATTACAAACAGATCGTACCACACTGAATGCAAGTGCTTTAAAATTTAGGAAAAAGTTGCCTGAAAGCATACCCCAGGTAGCTGGTGAATGTTGTAGTCTTCCTTGTTTTATGCTCTTCAGTCAGTAATACAACTTAGCTGACGGATTTTCATTTCTATTGCTATTTCATCTGTTTCATCCCTTCAGGAAACACTGTATATTTATCAGCAATGAAACAGAAGGAAAAATATTTTGTTGTTCAAGTTCCTTACAAATGTTTGGTGATGGCTGGATTTATGGCAAGGTCTTTATCTGTATTCTTTATTTTCCTGCTTGACAGCTTCCTAGGGTAGCCTTTCAGCCAATCATTTCAATCCCATTTAAGTTCTTCCCCCACATAAAAATAATGTTTAACTTTTTTCCTGAAACTCAGGCAGCAGGCCAGTCAGAAACCATATTGAATAAACATAGTGGATCTGAGATCCAGAATGAGCATTAGATTTTAGACCAAAGCTATTGAATTTTCTAATACATATAAAGTTATATATTAATGCATCAATCTATAAAGGTGCCCTAATGTAAAATACATGCAAAGCTCCTTTGAGTTTCCCTTGGAAGAAAATAAAAGGATGATTTCTATACTGAACAACTGAAAAGTGATGATGGCTAAAAGCAATTAAAAAAAAAAACCCAACCAAAACCCAGCGATTTTCCTGGCAACATGAACTGGTAACACCTTGCTAAAGAACTATAACATAAACTGATTGTAGTTTTCCAGGCAGCAGAATTAAAAACAAATAAAAACAACCCCAAACCCCACACAAATAGTAATAAAAAAAAAAACCCCAAGACCTACTTAAACCACAGCCTTGTGTTAATAATGCTTAAGACTGGTCCATTAACTGAGTTTGGCAAAAGGCTTGTTTTTAAATATATTATTTATAATTTCTCAGAAAATAAACACAGGTAAATATACAGGTTCAAAAAAGTTGGGAATAGCCCCTTATCCCTCAGTGTCCAAACCCAACTACCACTTTACCATAATAATAGGTATAAAAGGCACAGTTGCATATTTTGCATTCACCCTAATTATTTTTTATAGTTTTATTTGTTTATTTTTATACAAAAGCACTCTATTTATGGAGTGGCACCAGATTTAACCTATTTCAAATAAAGAGGAAAAATACAAACACAAAATATATTTGTGTGTCATGCCAGGTCAGAAGAGTAATCAGCATATTAATAGGGGCTAGTTCCACTAGAATTACTGTGAATACTTACAGTAGATAGAATTTTTTAAAAAAATTCTTTCACACCCATTTTAGATCTAAGGAGATGCGCACAAGTAAAGTATTTAATGACTGTCTTATGTGGTGCAAAAACTGGCGAGTGACTGCTGATCCGTTTAATCTGAAGGTCTTCTATGACCTGTATTATTAGCCTTGTAGAAAAAGGGTCTAAGAATATATGGAACCAAGCTACCTAATTTTTTTTTGTGTGTAATATTAAATAAAATCTTATTAAAGGAAATTTTATTGAACATTTGTGTTATGCAATTGTGTATTCTGTTGAAACGTGCAAGAAAAATGTGTATACATTACATAAGCATTTTAGAAGCATTTTTAAACAGGTACTTACAGATTATACAAAGCAGTAACTGCTGTATGCAGTGTCATAACAAAGTACTAGTTTGCATCTCTCCATATTACTTAAATAATTAAACATAAAAATGTTCAATCATTATTAATCTTTGATTTTATTATTTTCTTCCTAAAATGTGCCCATTCATCATAGCTGCTATACACAAACTAATGTTACTTGAAGAAAGTAAACTCGAGAGAGGAAAACAAAATGGCCAATAATGGCACATCCCACTATATGGAGAAGTGAATTCAAAAGATAAATGTGATGAGTTGTATTCATTTGCCAACCTCTACTTTAGGCTGTTTAAGGTTATTTCTATGCAATTCTTCAAAGCAAGAAACTACCCAAAGCTACATTGTGACTACAGTATACTAGAGAGCCATCTAGTCATGCCTTAATGCCAGGTTAAATAGCCAGGGATTTGAGTGCTTTCCCCCTCCTTGAGCTGTCCTCGCTGCGTTGTTCGATTGTCGCTTTCATCTGAACGTCTGAGCTCAGTCTGTCATTACTACAGCATCAGCTACAAAGCAACTGGTTGAAGTTCTGCACGTTTTGTTGCTTTTATTGCACAAAAACCTGTTTCATTTCCTCTTCCTCTCAAGAAGCGCTCACCATGAGAATCATTACAGCCCAGAGCTCTTGCATGTCATGGTAGCTTGGACTCCTTTTGACTCATCTTGATCTGCTAGGTGAGTACCATACCACTGTTTATCAGACCATTTTCTACCTAGCCTAAATGTTCCAAGTCTTGACATCATTTAGTATTGCACTTCTCTTGATTTTAATGCACTTGTGTTTCAAGAAAACCTGCGTTGTATCTTTGACATAATTGAAGCAATTGGTAATCTACAACACTGATGACAAAAGACTTAGCAATCATTCCTTGTACTCTGAAAAGAAGGTTTTATGTTTGACTTGTAATATTCTCTTGTCACTGCATCATCCCATTGTCCACCCTTTCCATCCCACCAAGCATTCTCATTAAAACAGCCTTCTATTACAACTACTAGCTTTTAATTTTGATCTTAAAAATTCCCTGGAACTGGCATATGCAATATATCATACACAGCATCTGCTGCAACATATCATGTCATTACAAAAACACCCACATCAGTTCCTTTGGGCATTCAATTGAACCACACTGGGGAAAAAAAAAAAAAAAATAATTGTGTCATCTGGGCTTGTGAACTGTGCTGCTGTGCAAAATGTAACTGAAGGTGTATTATGTGTGTATTTGTGAATACATTAGTTTTCTAAGCCAAGCCCCAATACTTAGCAGTTCCCCTGATCCATTGTGTGATCTTTGGCCTTTTTGTTATTACCATCTTCCCAGCTATATGTTAGTCTTGCCCAAAATAACGCTTTTAACAGTTTATCGTTACTATCCTACAGTATATGTGTTACTAATTGTGTTTACGTTGAAGTAATCATTACAGAGAATGAGAGAGAAGGCGAGAAAGAGACACAGCAAGAACATGTTTGTTCTATGGATAAAACAGAACCAGAGTTCATGAATCGTAGGAAATATGCCATGTTTTTTGACTGCAGTCTCAGGCTGAACGTTTTTCTGTTGCTTCCAGCCTCAGATGAGAGGTGAGAATATTAAAGCTGTGGTCTTCACAAAGTGCCTATTAATGATTATTCCTTTATATTTCTCACTATATCTGTATGGTTTCTGAAGGATTGTCCCTGGTGGGGATCAGCAATATTCAGATGATATGTTTCGAATACATTTTCCCTGACTTGTTATCCTCAACAAGCCAGATGACAATCAAACAAAATGCGTGGCTTAACTCATGCTTTTGCAGAGGGGAGACAACAGTGTGTTGTGTTCTTTTTAATCAAGCTCGTTACTATGGGAGGAATTTGCAACCATAGATTTAGGAAAATAAAAATCAGTGAGGGGGAATTAGACATGCAAGTAACAACGTTTTCTACATTGTACAGTATAGTCAGGCAGACAGTATAATTAAATGCCTGCTATGGAGGCAGAAGTGGCAGGCAGATCTTTCGTCTCTTTGGTGGCCCCCTCTTTTTTTGTTTCTTTTTTTTGTTAAAATTGTTTTGATTTTAAGACTTTTGCCCCTTTTCTTTCTTATAATATGAAAGAACTTTGTTGCTGCTTTTTAGCCTACAGGTAAACTTCTCTTCTAGTTAGAGTATTGACAGGAGATGGCTTGTATTCCCCTGTCTGTGCAAGGGGGATATCCTCTGGATTGCCTTCTTCATTTTTGTTGAAACTAGCCGTGCTGAAGGTCTCATAGGATGAGGTCAACTTTTTGTTAAGGAGGTTTCTGTTGCGATCACCCATGAGGGAGGCTTCTCCATTGGCCAGCTTCTCCTGACTGCCCCGTTCATCGACAGGCATGAAAGTGGAGAGTTTTGGCTGGCTCTTCTGCTTTCTTTCAGGAGAAGTGCGAACTGGCATCCAGCAGGAGTCCGAGTGGCCATATTCATCACACTCTCGGGTACACTTCCCTGTCAGGGCTACATCTGGTAGAGGCCTTGAATCTGAAAGTAAAATAGAGTTGTCTTTACAAATGAATAATATTGTAATGACTTCCAGTGAAACTGAGAATCCTTAAATTCGCAAAAGGTATTTTTAAAGGTCTTGGTAAGAATGTTGCAATAAGTTCCTCACTAATAGTTTTTTTTATGTTGCATATGCACATAGGCAACAAGCGGATCTGTACAGTTATCCTCAACCTCAAGAACTGAAAAAATAAGGCTATTAAGCCACTTCCTGTGCTTGTAAATCAATCTCAAAAGCATTTGGCATTAAGTACTGAATGAATTTTGATGTCTAAAAGAGTCAACCACGCACTTAATTCCATACTGCCATTTTTTCTGCGATTATTAAAAATACCTTTATTTGAATTTTTTGTAAAGAATGCTTTGAATTTATGTGAAAAGAACTTGAGGCCCTGGACCCCGCAAATACTTATAAACATGCTTAACTCCCTGCAAGTGTGAGCCAGCTCCATTACTGCCAATGAGACTCAATTTGGATATCATGTAAACCTCTGCTTGTATTTGAATTAGGCACGCATTGTTAGTACACAATGTTATGTGAATCGTACAATCAATCAATGATTAGTAGGAGCATACAAAAAAAACCTGCTTTTGGTTATGAATGTAATCTAACATATGAATAAAGCTGTTCTGTGTGTTGTATGTGTGTGGAGGGACAGGGAGAATCGGAGCGCTGCCTGCATAGATGCACTAACATTTTACATGTGACTTGTGTTAGAAGGTGTCCTGTGCCAGATCACTGCGTCTAACCTTTCTAGCCACTCTAGTTGTAAGAGTTTTCACTAGCAAAGTTCATGGGACTGCAGGATTGACTCCTACCTGATAAAAACAGAAGTAGTTTTTAATATTCATATTTTGATACCTTCATTACAATTGAATTAACAAGCTACCTCAACTGTTTTAAGCATTGGGTAAGAGTCTGAAACCTTGCTTTTGTTCAGTTATACTATACTTTATGGTCTACAAGAAATAGCTGGAGCTGCCTACAAAGTAACAACATGATATTCAAACAATGTTGACAAAGAAAAACAATAAACAAGTAAATGATCTTTTTCTAATTCATTTGATATGACTTTCATATGATATGACTTACTTGATGAAACTTTTTGGTTTCTTTTACAAAAAAAATTGATTATTTTGAAAAGGAGCAAGGAGCTTCAACATGGAAACACAGTCAGGTACTTTATATGGGCTGTGGCAACTTTCTACCTTCCCAAATTTATGAGAACAGTAATTTTACCAGTAATCACACATGCCTTATAAAATATCTTTCAAAGACCTATTCAGCTTTCATTCTGTTTTGCCTATTTTTTTCCTTTGATTTTGGCTGCCAGATGACCTTCTCAAACAGTGACAATTCCAACTGTGAAATTTTTATAAATTTATTAAAAAAACCACTGCTGAGGTGTAAAAAAAAAAAAAAAAAAAAAAAAGCAACCAAAAATCCTTTGTCTCTTCCAAAATAAACTGGTTTAATTTAAAATATTTACAAGTACTTGCAGAACAAGCATATTTCATTTCAGCAGCTGCAGATTTAATCCTGATAGAATTGCAAAAGCTCTTGAAAGTCAGATTCATGTTCATCCTGTCCTGATTTTTTAATACATTTAAACTTTCATTTAATTAGTAATTTGTTGCAGTATTATAAAGAATATATACATTATTTATTATTAACAGTTGTCAAAAATTTTATAGAATCTACTGCATGTATTCTGACTACTGCATAATATTTCATATTTCAATATGTCACTGATTTTAAGGAGGAAAACAGTACTGATGTTTAGATAACTGAGAAACTCTGTAGCTAAGATGTATAAGGCTGGGAGGAGGGAATTGAGGTTTTCGTTTATTTGGGGTTTTTTTTTTTCCCCAGTTGTACTTTTTAAGGCTTTTGCATTTAGACTCAGCCACGATTCCACATTTTTTCAATGAAGAATGCAAAGACTATCAATTTTCAGATGACTGTGTTCTGGAGATGGAGACAGAAGACAGGAAAATTCTCTATTTGTCAGCTAAATCTAGTATTATTCTGGCACTCCCTAAAGGTAAGAAGCATAATTAACTGCTGAGCTGCACTTGATGTGCTTTGATTTTTAAACAGAAAACCCCATATTTTTACAACAGGGCAAACCCCCTTCCCATCTAAATCTCAATAAACTCTTCAACAGCACCTTATTTCCAAACAGTGACCGTTAAGCATTATGCTTGCTACTAGTATGTCAATTATTAATCTGGCAGAATATTAGCAAATGTTTATCAAGGCAATATGTCTGACCTTAATTTAAAACATAGGAGTATGTGTTTATTGAAAGGGGGGTTTTAGTTGTTGTGTTTAGTTTGTTGGGTTTTTTTCCACACTGAAACAGTTAAAGTCTCATTATATCTGATGGTTTCTTTTTAATGCAAACAAGTCTTGAGGCAGCATTCCTCGGGTTCATAAAAATCCTTCCCTTGCTAATCGTCCTTGAATCATGCACTTGAAAATTTACCATTTTGCATTGTAGCGTATCCCTTATTCACTTCTGGACAAATATTAGAATTCCTTAATGTAAAGCATGAGGCCTTGCTGTACAATTCAGCCTTACAGTGCTTTTTTATGAAATGATAACCTCTAAGTAAGCATGTGGCTGACTCGCCCTGTTGGGTTATGCGATAAACCTCATCTTCACACCCCCAGAAAAGCTCAGAGAGACACTGGCAGGATAATAATAGCCCAAATAATACCCTGACAGGGCCATCAACCCATCAAAGGTCCATGGGCCCAGGCGAGCACAGGGGTGTACAGTGGCAGATAGGAACACGAATCAAGGACTGGGGAGGAACAACCACCTTGTCCGTGCTCCTCCCAGGGCTATCCTAGCAGAACCATCAGCCCCATTATCCAGGCATGAAACCCATCACGGTGAGTCACTTGGCAGCTGCTGTCCAGATCACCCTTCCGTCTAACGGAGCGGGGGGGGGGGTTGCTGCCTAGGTATGTAGGACACATTAGGGGATATGGGGGGGGAAAGCTGTTTGGGATAGCACAGGGCTTATCATGCAGTGTTTAAGGGAGGAACCAAAGTGAGGAGAAGGGAGGGCTTTAGGTGATCTGAGGCAGAACAAGAGTGGGAAAACACAGAGATAACGGGATAAAAGGGCCAGTCACATGTAAATAGTTTGCTGACTAATAAGCTTCTCTGGTTGTACCCTGTACCTGATCAGCACCATCTGTCCTATCTTCTTATTAAATTCCTTTCTAACTCTTTCCTGGGTATGGGCTCCCTATTATGTGTGCATATGCACGTATTCATAAGCGCATGTCCATTCTCACAAGTGGACTTCCATCCTGTCCAGCCAGAGAGGGGAGCAGAATGAGGCCGCTGGTGCTGTCTGTGTTTGCTCCGAATGTCTGTGATCTCTGTGGCCTACTGTGTATATATATTTGGTGTATATGTGTGCTCTGTGTGTGTGCCTACCAGAATACATCATCTTTGCTGCTGGTTGGACCTGGGGACAAGGAGCAGCAGCAGCCTAGCCTCCCTGCGGCCATCAGATCCGGTGTGATGTATTTTCCTCTAAAACACCCTTCAATTAGTATTTGGCATGTAGAGTTAATGTAGCCTTCTACTCCATTGCTTTCTTGCATCTGCTCTAAGAGCTTGAATCAGGACAGCATTTAAGCACACATTTAGTGTAACATGTTTTGAAATCTGTTCTGTTTCACTGCTCTTCTATTTAAAAGATGGACTTAACTTTAGCATTTGGGGGGGGGGGGGGAGGGGGAGATGACTCAAACAAACCCCCAAAAAACCCCACGATGGTGCAGGGAAGGAGGGAACATTTTTTGTGTGTGTGTGATACCAGAAGATGGGTAAAACACCCAGTGCTGTCAGGACTAAACTATCACCAGTATCTAAACTGGTCAGTTAAGGACAACTTGGGTACTTTATACACTGCAGTAAATAACAGATTTAAGCTTCATTTCAAATTGCCACGCTGTTTTAGCTATAAAGTAATTTAATGTATTTTGCTAATTCCCTGAACAGAGTGACCCTCTTTTGCAGAGTAGCAAGTTTATGCTCCTATGTTTACGTTACCTGTCACATGGAGTTGTGAATAATCTCTGAATTTGGGGGGAGGAGTTACTCTTGTCCTCTAGCATAATTTACATCCAAACACATCTATCTCTAAGTTTTCTAAGTACTCCTTAGTTTAAAAGTTAAACACTTTAGGAGCGACCACACTGCTAGCTGACAAGCCTAATGGAATATAACACAGCAAAGAATTTGTTGGCAGAGTTGGCAAATCATCAAGGAAGACTACAACAGATTTCTACCATGGTTACATATCTGGAAACTGACTCAAATAAGTCCTTAAAATGCCAGTTATTAATAAACAAATTTTATCACAGTGCTAATTAGTGAGAAAGGAGACCTGGAGGGATAATATTTCTTGTCATACAGAAATTTGGAGATTTGAAGTTAGGTTTACCTGTTTATACATAGACTACTCAAATTTAAGCTTTTATTTGCATAAAATTATCTTCAGAGTTACAATGGAAGATGTCATCTAAGTTACTTTCAAACATATCCCCTTATGGTGTCTCTACATCAGAACTAGGTATTGCTTGACTATTTACAAAGTCATTGTAAACCCAGTTCCTAAAATACCGATATTTAGACAGTTGTCAGGTATACATATAAATGGAGATTTCAAAGGTGAATATTTATAAAGCAGATTTCACTTGCTACTTCTCAGACTCCAGCTTAAAAAAAAATTGGAGAACACTAAGTTACAGGACCTCACGATCTATTTTCTCATTGCATCCAGTATAAGTTTCCATTACCAATTTCCAGATTTAGCTGATAAAAGTTTTGTGGGTTTATTATTGGAGTTATTTTTAATAATAATTTTATTATTAATGGAGTTATCATTAATCCAACAAATCTTTAAACATTTATCACTAATTTCTGAGACAGTGATGGTGTATGTTTTCC